TAGCATGTTGTTAGCGTGACTTTAGCATGTTTTTAGCATAACTTTAGCATGTTGTTAGCATAACTTTAGCATGTTAGCATGACTTTAGCATAACTTTAGCATGTTTTTAGCATAACTTTAGCATGTTTTTAGCATAACTTTAGCATGTTAGCATGACTTTAGCATGTTTTTAGCATAACTTTAGCATGTTGTTAGCGTGACTTTAGCATGTTTTTAGCATAACTTTAGCGTGTTGTTAGCGTGACTTTAGCATAACTTTAGCATGTTGTTAGCATAACTTTAGCATGTTAGCATGACTTTAGCATAACTTTAGCATGTTTTTAGCATAACTTTAGCGTGTTGTTAGCGTGACTTTAGCATAACTTTAGCATGTTGTTAGCATAACTTTAGCATGTTGTTAGCGTGACTTTAGCATGTTTTTAGCATGTTGTTAGCGTGACTTTAGCATGTTGTTAGCGTGACTTTAGCATGTTTTTAGCATGTTGTTAGCGTGACTTTAGCATGTTTTTAGCATGTTGTTAGCGTGACTTTAGCATGTTATTAGCATAACTTTAGCATGTTGTTAGCGTGACTTTAGCATGTTTTTAGCATAACTTTAGCGTGTTGTTAGCGTGACTTTAGCATAACTTTAGCATGTTGTTAGCATAACTTTAGCATGTTGTTAGCGTGACTTTAGCATGTTGTTAGCATAACTTTAGCATGTTAGCATGACTTTAGCATAACTTTAGCATGTTGTTAGCGTGACTTTAGCATGTTTTTAGCATAACTTTAGCATGTTGTTAGCATAACTTTAGCATGTTTTTAGCATAACTTTAGCATGTTGTTAGCGTGACTTTAGCATGTTTTTAGCATAACTTTAGCGTGTTGTTAGCGTGACTTTAGCATAACTTTAGCATGTTGTTAGCGTGACTTTAGCATGTTTTTAGCATAACTTTAGCATGTTGTTAGCATAACTTTAGCATGTTTTTAGCATAACTTTAGCGTGTTGTTAGCGTGACTTTAGCATGTTTTTAGCATAACTTTAGCATGTTGTTAGCGTGACTTTAGCATGTTTTTAGCATAACTTTAGCGTGTTGTTAGCGTGACTTTAGCATAACTTTAGCATGTTGTTAGCATAACTTTAGCATGTTAGCATGACTTTAGCATAACTTTAGCATGTTTTTAGCATAACTTTAGCGTGTTGTTAGCGTGACTTTAGCATAACTTTAGCATGTTGTTAGCATAACTTTAGCATGACTTTAGCATAACTTTAGCATGTTTTTAGCATAACTTTAGCGTGTTGTTAGCGTGACTTTAGCATAACTTTAGCATGTTGTTAGCATAACTTTAGCATGTTGTTAGCGTGACTTTAGCATGTTTTTAGCATGTTGTTAGCGTGACTTTAGCATGTTTTTAGCATGTTGTTAGCGTGACTTTAGCATGTTATTAGCATAACTTTAGCATGTTGTTAGCGTGACTTTAGCATGTTATTAGCATAACTTTAGCATGTTGTTAGCGTGACTTTAGCATGTTTTTAGCATGTTTTTAGCATAACTTTAGCGTGTTGTTAGCGTGACTTTAGCATAACTTTAGCATGTTGTTAGCATAACTTTAGCATGTTGTTAGCATAACTTTAGCGTGTTGTTAGCGTGACTTTAGCATAACTTTAGCATGTTTTTAGCATAACTTTAGCATGTTGTTAGCATAACTTTAGCATGTTAGCATGACTTTAGCATAACTTTAGCATGTTTTTAGCATAACTTTAGCATGTTTTTAGCATAACTTTAGCATGTTGTTAGCATAACTTTAGCATGTTGTTAGCGTGACTTTAGCATGTTGTTACCGTGACTTTAGCATGTTTTTAGCATAACTTTAGCATGTTGTTAGCATGACTTTAGCATAACTTTAGCATGTTGTTAGCATAACTTTAGTATGTTGTTAGCATGACTTTAGCATAACTTTAGCATGTTGTTAGCATAACTTTAACATGTTGTTAGCGTGACTTTAGCATGTTGTTAGCATGACTTTAACATGTTAACATGACTTAAGCTTGTTGTTAGAGTGTTATTGTGACTATTATTTTAGCATGTTAACATGACTAGCATGTTGTATACTAACAACATGGGACTGGGTCGGCGCTCGTTGGCATGTATTAGCTCTGGAATTGCCACAGTTATCCAAGTAACGGATGGAGCGATCAAAGGAACCATAACTGATTTAATGAGCCATTCGCAGTTTCACTGTACCGGCCGTGTGCACTTAGACCTGCATGGCTTAATCTTTGAGACAAGCATATGTTACTGGCAGGATCAACCAGGTAGCCCCGAGCAGAGTGGTAGAGGAAGAGAGCTCTTCCTCGCTCACGGGTCTCGCGCTGCCGCTCGCGCCCCCGGAGGGGGCGAGGGAGGCGCGGCCGCTCGCTGTGTGGGGTTTTTGCGGGGTTGTGGTCACCGGGAAATGCGACGTGCTTCGCGGCGAGCCCGGCGGAAGAGCGGAGAGCGCCCGCACCGGCGCCGCCCTC